CCCTCCTCCCCATCTCTCTCCCCTCCCCCTTTCCCTGTGTCTCTCCCTCCTCCCTCTATTCCCCTCTCTCCCCCCCTTTACCTGGAGAAGTCAGGGGGCCGGCCGTGTTCCTGGCTGGAGCCGCCGGGCCGGGTAGCAGCTTCCCCGGTCCGGCGGCCCTGCTCCTGTCACTGGTGTGGCTGATGGAGGAGGAGCATGTCTCTGTACCATCCATGCTCCCTCGCGGTTCCTGTGCCGGGGAGCATGGTACAGAGACAGGCTCCTCCTCATCAGCCACAGCAGTGAGAGGAGTGCCGCCGGACCGGGGAAGCTGCCACTCGGCCCGGCGGCTCCAGCCTGGAACGTGGCTGGCCCCCAGGTGCCACGGCCCACCGGGAAATTTCCCGGTATCCCGGTGGGCCAGTCCGGCCCTGCTCCCTTAGCTACTAAGCTCTTGCAAGAGCTCTTGTTCCTGCTTCGCTCTACAGAAGGAAGAAGTTCACCCACTGGAACCTGGAGCCTGGTCATAGGTCCAGGGTGGATAGCAGATGGCGAGATACCAGCCCAGCAGCGGTGGTTCATGGAGTCTGCAATACTTATGGTGTCTACGGTGCTGATGGTCCTTTGCTGAGCACTAGGAGCATCCTTTCTACGGTCCAACTTTCAGCTAGCCTGGAGGCAACCGTAACAAAAGGCCCATGGAAGATTGAATTCAGAAGAAGCATGTGGTAACTAGCTGACCAAGCTGCCAAAGATGCTGCACGTGAACCAAGGGAAGTGGACAGAAGAGTGTCCGCTGAAGAAACCCCTATATTTACTATGCAAACCCTACCCACAGATCTCAAGTTTTTGAGGGAACAACAAGCAGCTGCAAGCCTCGAAGAAAGACAGAGTTGGAAAAAGAAAGGGGCAACCCTTCAGGATGGGGTGTACACCATTAATCTCAAATTCTTTTTACCCAAAGGTATGTACCCAGCAGTGGTCCAATGGGCCAATAGAGCAGCACACCTGTCCAAGACCCTCACGAACTCTCTAATCAACAAATACTTTGAAGCACCAGGCATTACCTCTCTGACCAAAAGTTACTGCAAATCTTGCACCATCTGTGCCAAATGTAATCCGGGAAGAATGGTAAAAGCTCCCCCCAAACATCTGGCGAAGCCACACTATCCCTTTCAAAGGATCCAAATAGATCATATTAAAATGCCAAAAAGTGGTTGATATCAATATGCACTAGTCATAGTGGACATGTTCTCAGGATGGCTAGAAGCTTTTCCAGTCACTAATATTAGCTACAGCTAAGCGTCTGCTCACCGAAATTGTCTGCAGATATGGAGTTCCTGAAGTAATAGAAAGTGACCAAGGCACGTCCTTCACTGCACCGTTAACCAAAGAGATCTGGGCAGCACTGAGGGTGACCCTTGCATTCCACACGCCCTATCACCCACAGAGTAGTGGTAAGGTAGAACGCATGAATGGCACCTTAAAAGCCAGAATGCTCAAAATGTCCCAAGAAACTAACTTGCCCTGGCCAGAGAGTCTCCCTAGTTTAGTGTGAGGTACACACCAAGAGGGAAATTTGGCCAGTCCCCAAATGAGATTTTGTTTGGTTCAGCTCCTAGGCTAGACTGTTATTTTCCTCAGCAGCTCCAACTTCAGTCAGATGCAATGGTTGACTATGTAGCTGCTCTTTCTTGAGCCTTAACCAAAATTCATTAACCGCAGACACTTCCTAATTATCAAGCGCAGACTGGTTGGGCGTCGTTCGTATGCCGACCATGAGGCGGTGGCCATCTTGACTATACGAATGATCAACGGTGTTCATCAATGAGTTCATGGAACTAAAAACTGATATTTCTCCCGAACACCGCTGAAGCTGCCGACATCCCTTCTTCTGACTTCCAACATACGAATGCTGGTCCGTTCGGCACCTTCTCCACTAATGAACTTACCTCAGATAGCCATCCCATGGAGCCCCTTCGGATACCGAAAGACAATGTGAAAGACTTTGGCTCCATGGCGATTGAACTGTGGGTATAGTATCTGAGCGCCATTTGGTAATAATGTGCGCTCAGATCTAAGCTATCCGGGGATACGTTAATTGCATATAATCCATTCGGTAGTTTTCCTAATATGTATTTTTATGTCTTTTTATTATCCCATGTAAAATGGCGTTTTGACTCTATCCTTGGAGATAATTGCATTACTTCCCAATTATCCCCAGGATAGAGAGAAGGGTCTACCTGGTGTAAAGGGCAGTGTTTATAGCCAAAGTGTGCTCATTGGCTACTGTATCACTTTTGTACCAGTCTTCCATCTGGTCCCCTCAGATAGTGTCTACCAGATGGGAGACCAGCATAAATATCGGGCAGGTAGCCCACATTAAAACCAGATTCCTGTTTTACCTTCAATACGGAGCCTAGTCTTGTACTTGGGGGGGAATTGCTACTGTGGATTATTCGTTTACCTGTTCCAGGAGAGAAGGATTTCGTATGTTTCCAGTTCAGTGGGTTCAAGTGTTCGTGAGTTGCTGTTCCCTTCGAAAGGGGAATCTCCCAAACGATATTAACCCTTACTACACCGGGTTATACCGTAACAGGAACTGTACCTTTAAATCTAGCTCCCGAAATAGAGACATGTTTCCTACGTTTTTATGTATATCCAAGAACTAACTGGTCAGCATGTGAGTCCTGGGAGAAAAAATATCCTATGATCAACAGGAGCGTTAGACCATCCGAAGATGTCACGGTATACCCAGGTAATTATACTTGCTACGCCATATGCAGTGGGTCAGGCATGTTTTGGGGAAATTTTGCTAAGGGATATTGTGCCACATACAGAACACCACCAGTAGCTCTATTAATGAGACAGATGAGATCCCTGGGAGACATATTGGCTGTGTGGAGACATGCAACATAGATCCAGATTGGAAGGCCTATGGTGGGGAGAATGTGCCCTAGCCAAAGTTATTATGCCTATACACATAATATCAGACAACCACCAAGGTCCTCTTTATAAACCCCACACATACTTCAGAGCAAAGAGAAGCACTCCTCTAAAGGGCAGTTTTGATCCACACATATACATAGATGCCATAGGAGTACCAAGGGGGGTACCAAATGAATTTAAAGCAAGAGATGAAGTTGCGACAGTATTTGAATTCATGATCCCGCTCATCACTGCTAATAAGAATGTAAATAATAATTATATCTATTACAACCAGCAGCGCTTTGTCAATTACACCAGAGATGCCCTCCAGGGCCTGGCAGAGTAATTACATGCTACCTCTCAAATTACCTTTCAGAATAGAATGGCCCTAGAAATGATCCTGGCAGAGAAAGGAGGAGTATGTGAAATACTCTCAGACACCATGACATGCTGCACTTTTATCCCAGACAACACAGGCCCCAGTGGGAAGGTAACCATGGCAATAGAGAAGTTGGAAAGTCTCTCAGAAGAGTTAAAGATGAACTCAGGAGTCACTAACTCATGGAATAGATGGTTTGGATGGTTAAATGGCTGGCAGAAAGTGCTTGTCCAAGTAGGTATGGCCGTCTTGACAGTGATGTTTCTTTTTATTATCATTGTCTGTTGCGGGTTGCCATGTGTTCAGAAATACCTGCAGAAGACAGTTGATCAGACGATTGATCGAACTACCCCAACCTTCTTTCACCAAGAAATTAATGACAAAGATTGTGATATACCTCATACACTTTTACAGTGCCACCACACTAAATATGCAACTACTTCTGTCTTCACAGGTAAAGTCTGTTGCACACTATAAAATCCCACCCCTTTGACACCATCTTTGTGGAGAGTTTAGGAGCAGAGTGTGAGCAAGTAATGGCTGGTAGGGAGAGTGGTGGTAGTGGGGTAGTTGTGGGAGATTTGCCCAGGGAGGGTGGTATGGGGAAAGGTAGGTGTTCTAGATTTATTGGAGTGCCTGAGGGGAACTGCCAGCAACAGACCTCGTAGGGAGCTGATCGCAGGGATAACTGAGCTAGACCAGAGCTTCACCATGGCAGAACCACCAATTAGTTCTGCAGATGAGAAAACCAGGATTGTAAGGGAGAGGCTCCCACTGTATGGGCCAAATCCCTCAGCAGAACTGGTAACGCAACTCATGGCCGAGGTGGATGTCAAAATAAGAGCCGCCAGAGAACACGAAATCCACAGAATTACCGCACAGCATGTCCCAGGACCAGTGGTAACACCAACACCTCCCGATAACACTAAAAAAAAAGTACCCTTTGCCGCTTTTAAGCTGTTTCAGGAAGTCGAAGGGGGGATTAATGAATACTTAGCGGATTTCGAATGCCAGTGTGCTCTCCACTAGATCCCTATCGAGAAATGGACCACTATCCTATCTGGAAAGTTATCAGGACGTGCCTCCAATGCGTTCCGGGCTCTAAACACGGTAGAAGTTACACAATGTTCCGT